TGAACACATCCTTCAATGGAACTGTAGTTTTCACGTTTTTGTCCTCTAAATTCCAAACTAAGGACATAATAATATCTAGTCCACATATAATGGGGGGTGTTGAGTCATTTTCCTGCAGTGAGATAAATACAATCTTAAATACAATAATCATTAGGTATGTGAGCTAGAGCATGGCAAATGATGAACAGCCATGTTTCAAAAATGTACACAAAAATGTTTAGCTCCATGTTCAAGAGAAACTATGGGGCATTGGGGTAAAGCCTACGCCTGCTCACTGCCCCCCCCAAGCGCCAGATAAGATGGAACAATCAGCAGCTTTTAATTAATAAACAAAAAAATCACAGCACAGCATTTGCTTAGGGATGGATGGGGCTTCTGGATATCACTTTCCAAGGCAAAATAATGACACATTCACAACTGCCCTGCATGTAGGCATGTTGAACACAAAACTAAAATACTTCCCTTGCAACAAAATGACTTGGAGTGAGTGCCAAGTAAATGCAATATCCATACAAGACATACAAAGTTTGTAAGATGTCCAGGTTTCATGAAACAAATGTACAAAAATTAATCAATTAATGTACAAAGAAAGCGTATAGAAAGAAGGTGCTATTATCCCAATGACTTTTAATTTCTTTGTTGAGAGAACCACAACAGATATATTCTACATCTTATTCTTATGCATCTCTATTATAAAGATGCAATTTTCTTAACTTGAAAACTTTGGATCTTAAGATTTATGTAGTTGTAGATTTACATTAGTAAATCTGCTAATTTCCAAAACAAATTCAATTTTGAAGATATTATTAGCAAGTTATTCTTTTGACTACAGATAGATACATCTTCGCAACATGCAATGGTGCTTGAGAATTATCCTCTCACAGTCATTAAGCACCCCAAGATTAAAGAAGGTTAATATGCAGACAATAGAACAATAAGAGTCTAAAAATTTCTGTTAACTTTCAAGTTTTCTTGAAAATCTTAATACAAAAATAAATTTTATAGTATTACTTGATAGGTTGACATAATAATCTACAAAACTGAAATGTGTAAGTAAAGCAATCACTGAATAGTAGATAGATGTATGAAAACTAAAGGACTGAATTTAATTTGCATATTTTTATCTCAGTAAAGCATAATTGAGACATCACTATGAGGAGAAAAAAAACACCCAACAGAACTCCCAGATTTTCCACACTGAATTAACATTGACTTCTAATGGATGTCTTAATTACACTTTATTATTCATGGAAATTTAACAGAAATTAAAATCAGTTCCTGTGTGCCCTGTTCATAGTTAAGTCTTTGTGGGGGGAAAAGAAAAGCTGCATGAGACAATGTTAATCTGGATACTAACAATCTTCTGCATTTACAATTAGAATTTATACTTTAAGAGAAGGGAGTCAGTTTTATTTAGACAGCAATGCAGGGCACATTCACTACACAGCAAGTGCCATCCAAATCATTTGTTTCCAAGTAAACATGCTTTGTATTTGAAAGTAATGAGAACACATGAAATATATTGTACAGATATTTATTACTGGACAACAGTGTTAGAATAAACTCCAAGAACTAAAGTGACTTTTAGAAAAGTCAAAAAACAGCAAATCTGTCATTAAATATACACTCTTCAGGTTATTCCCAAATTCTACTCCATAAAAATAACATATTAGTAGTAATTGATCATTGCCTCTATAGATGATTGTGAGGGGAGGTTCTAGGTGCTCACATTAGAGCATGGTGAAAGTATCCCTAGAGGCAATGTCCCTATTGCCTTCTGCCACTTGCATGAAATAATACTATCAAAATTACAAACCGTACCCTACATCAGTGGTTCTTAGCTAGTGGTACAATTGTACCCCTCTTTCTCTCAGCCTCCATGTCCTCCATGCAAGAGTGATATACTATTTCCTATCATGGATAATCAATCTGTAATCTTTTACAGTCTAGCTGTTACTCCAGACATTCAGTGCTTCTCTTAAGCCCCTGCTTCTGCACTCCACCAATCCACTATAAATGGTAAATATGATCATTAAATGACTCTAAAGATACATGTACCCTTTGTGGTAAAAAGTGGGCTTTTCATATTATTTGCTGGAATGATTTGTAGTATATCATAAATAAACTCCATAAAATAGTACTGGCAGATTACACTTCTGCTCTGGTAGCTGTACTACAGAATTTTGTCCTACTCCTACCTACTCCAAGCTCTTTGAAACGAATGTGTTCCAGAATTTATATGGTGAGGTACCACCCGTATGTGGATCATTTCTGCACTCTTTCTCTTCAATCCGAAATGTATTAGATAAGCCCTTGAGCACTTCCCTATACTGAATAAGGATAAATGAGCTAAAACTCTGTATAAGTAACTTAGTTGCTTATTGCTAAAGACTCTCAATGTCTTATAAAGGGTAACATATATTGAAAGTCAAAGACAGCAGCAAGGGCTGTGACCTTATTCTTCAATACACTAAGCAGGGGTCAGACCATCTGAAGTTTTCCTTTCTAACTTGAGACAATAGAGCCTTGTAACCAAACTACAGTAGAATCTTACCGGACTAATAATGGGACACCATCTTCCCCTGCGCCAAGAGCAGTAGGATAGATCAGGGGGCTTGGACATGACATGTGGCATGTACATTTCTGCCTACCACAGGACTTGCCACCTTAGGTATTCTTCTCTATCTCCTTAACTATAGAATCGACTTTGTCATTGATCACATTTCACTTGCTTTGGCTTGTGCATCCTTACCTGGACAATGACCCTGCTCCTATATTAACTTCTCAACAGGACTAATTAAGGATAAGGAAATGAGCGTGCCATGAAGTTGACTTCAAAACATCTGATTGTCTAGAATATACTTCTTCCTTGAGTTGCATGAGTCTAAGCAGCATGGTTTTGGTTATACATGGGTTTGTTCTCCATTAAATATATACACAGACAGACAGAGACAGACAGATAGACAGACAGACAGTGCCCCTGGGCACCCAAAACTCCATGAGTCCAACACCAAAGGTGTCAAAATGGTCTACTTGTCCACAAATACAACATATCTAATTCAGCCTAAAGATAAGGGCCTTTAAGGCTCATTATACATGGTAATGTATGGAAAGGATTGTCAATGCTATGAAAGAGTACTTTGATAGAGATAATTGGGGGGAGAGAGTATGTACTGTATGTGTGTGCGTGCGCACACGCATGTGTGTGTGTGTGTGTGAATCAACTATTTATGCTTTGTAGTTAAGGTTTTGGAGACATAAGAGTCATACACAGAAACTGAACTACACGGAGGTTCGGTGCCCCCAACCCCAGCGTTATTGAGGGGAGAAACACATTGTCATTGAGGGCCAAACACAGGGAACGCATTACCTCAAACTAAGAGACTTATACAGTTCCAGTGTACTGTATTTACAGGCCAATTCAAAGGAGCTTTAGATTTTGAGTAGATATGGAGAACCTCTGGCCCTCTGCACTGCAGTTCCTAGAAACCTCTGTCCACATGGCCAATGCAAACTACAGTCCAAAGTGTCTGGCAGCCCAAAGACTCTTCCACCTTCCTTTAATGCTCTTAACAGTTTGGATTCATAATTGTTGAGGAAATGTTTTTATCCACATATTTCCAAGAATTATATGTAGCAAACAAGGTTTGATCACTGAAGATGACAATATTGCATTTACTAGGGGATTCTCAATAGTAGTTCTAAAACTTTCAACAGAACAAAATGCAGTATTGGTAAAGCTGGTACCATTGGGAAGAGTAAAAATAATGTTTTTTTTTATTCTGCCAGATCTTTAAAGATTTCATTTGCTGAAATGTGTTTTCTAACTGTAGTTACTCTATACTGTCTCTTATTTGTTTTATCTATCTTAATGTTATACTTCTGCTGATGTTATTTTTGTCAAACAAAAATATTTATAGAAAAGAAGAAATTAATTTCTACATCTATTATAAGTATGGGGGGGCAAGATTGCCTGGAATTCAGCTAAAACATGAACTACGAATCTCAACGTGAAAGAGCTGTGAAAAGACGAAAGAACCAGAAACCAAATTCTGTAATGCAGATTACATTAGACATGCACCGCAAATATAATCACACATCACATATGAAATATGTTGATGCTGTCATGAAATTGAACTGAATTGTCCTTTACAAATCAATTATTTGTTTAAAAAAATACAAATTGCCATATGTGAACAACCACATACTAATTCACACCTGTTCTTAACTAAACTAAAAACTTTGTGTTACACATCATTCATTCATTCATTCATTCATTTATTCATGCACGCATGCATACATACACACACACACACACACACACACACACACACACACACACATGCAAAATACTGCAAAGCAGTATACCTTGAGAAATTCTGAAACTAGTTTAGAAACAGAGCTTCATTTTCTTTATACATGTTTACATTGGCAGATTCGTGTAACTCTCTGTGAAACAATCACTTCACTCCAACTTTCACCCAGAGTAACTGCTATAAATGGTGTTAACCTAAACACGAAAGAAGAAAGATCTACCACCCACAGGCTTTTGTTGAGAAAACGACATGTATAATCAGCTTCCATTATCAGCTACACAAGGCACAGATATATAGAAGTATGTCAGTGCTCAGATAAATAAAGAAACCTCTAGTAATAACCTCACAATGATTATTTCTGTGGGCTGAATCTATAGCATCCATCTGGGTTGAACATTCTCATTAAAAAGTTGTGTGTGCCAAAAGGATTATATTGTCTTTTCCATCATTCATAATTTATGGCTGGCAAAAAAGAGCAGTAAAAAACATTGGCAGGTTGCTATCTCATTTTCATTTTTCCTCAAGTCGAGTGAAAATTGCAGCAACTATGATGAATCATATACTACAGGACACAACTTGTTAAAAATGCAGTAATCAGATCTAAAAACTTCTATGGGACTTTTATGGGACACTCAGATTATTTGGTGTTACAGGTTACTCACAGAGTATTTGATGCTACAGTACCTGGCTAGTTTGTGGACTGGACGGGTCATAGGAATAATTTTTCAGAGTATCCTGAGGATTCAGGTGGGGAGGGTATCGGATTGTTGGATGAGAGAAGTAGCTAGACGGGCCAGGAGGAAGAATAGCTTGTGGTGGAAATGGCAATGGTGAGGGCGGAGGTGGACTCCTTGTTGAGATGACTAGAGGAGACAAAAAAGAATAGAAATTTACTTAGGATGTTTCATTTTTATCATAAAATACTGCAGACATGACAAAGCAACAGGAAAATAAATCTCAAACTTCACATTACTGAAATTAATTACACTATTCTCTTCCCAGGTTTAATTCACAACATTTTAATCAGCGGTCTTTCATTGCAACAATTCCTGATAGAACAAAGGCTGCTATTCTCTAAACAAATAAAGAGCCAATTGATTTTACCATAATACTTGATTTAAACCTTTCTTCAAAAACATAAATCACTGCCCTGTAGATAATTTACTTTGGTTATTCTCAATTATGACCTAAACCTTACTCAAACAATTAAGGAGGGAAACCATTTCAAGTCTCCAGAACAACCATGGAGTCCTAGAGTCAGCAAATGACTCCACAATGTGTTACACTCTGGCCTGTGTGTGTGTGTGTTTGTGTGTCTGTGTGTGTGTGTGTGTGTGTGTGTGTGTGTGTAGAATAATTACTGAGCAATAACACCATGAATAATTAGCTGCTCATTGTGAAAATGCTAATGAATGTTCAACTTCAGGGCCTGGGAAAATATCTCATCCAATAGCAATATCTCTAGTGAACAAAAAGGGTGCTCGTATGTTATACATATTTTTTTCCTTGCATTCTCTTGATTCTCTATAGATTTCTCAATCAAGAGTTTGTATATATTTCTAAAAGCACTGTAATGTATTTAGCAATGAAAGGAATGTACAGAATGTCCTGTTACTGCACAGTTGTTATGCCAGCCATGGAAATTATTTTATTACAATACATAATAATCACATCCCACTTATATAAGAGACAACTTTTGTGTGAGAAAAAAATCTTCTAAGCAGGAAATGGAGGAGGAAAAACTAAATCATCCTTGACAACAAAGTTATAATATTGGCATGCGGTGTTTATCACTTCTTTTTTAAACATTTTATTGAAATATATTTTCTTTTATTATTTGAAAAATCCCAATATCCATTTCTCTTTTCCTTCAATTTCCACATTTTATTTTCTCCAATCCTTCCTTTATTCTCATGTGGAAACACAGTTTAAAAATATGTTACAAATAAACAGGGAGGGAGAACATAATTGCACATTTGATCCTCCCACTTGTTCCAAGTGGTGTCTAGTCCACATACAGAATTTAGCACAAAAGCATTTTCATTTTTCCAAATGTTTTCCTCTTATGCACCAACCACTCTGAGCTACCATACTTTCAACCCACTTCTCATGGTTTGGTGGAAACCTAAACTTTCTGTTGCTTTCTAATTTGTAATCATCAACGTGGTTACATCAACAACACGCCTCCCTCATCATTTTACTCAAATAAGCATCAATGTCTGAAGAAGAAAGGAGTCCTCCTTAAATGTAAGCTGTAGGAGCATGCAGGGACTTTATCAGTGTTCCCTCTTACATGTAGGGTGTACACGTAAGCAGTAACTGCTCTTCTTCAGATTCATTGCTGCTCATTTGAAAAAAAATGGTGGGCAGGCAGTTCTAGACATATTGATGGTTCTGGATTATAGAATCAATGAATAGGGCTTCCAGTATTTGAGTACCACATATCTAGCATTAAACAGATCTTACATTATATATGCACATTTAGTTAGCTGGATTAAAGTGTAAATGGAATGTAATCCTTGAAATATGTATGAGTTAAGAATAATTCATACCCTAATGCAAACTGCCCAAATTTGGGTCAGTGTTGGACATGCCCTAAATCAATGAGATAGGTGTGGCCCTAAAGGTCCATGCCTCCATCAGCAATGGCTATATCCTGAACTTGAAAGCAAACAAAGATCCCAATATAAGCTAAGTAACCATTAGTTGCTTTATTGGGTATATTTATTGTATGAGGCAGCAACATAGTATTCTACCAAGCTGGTTAAATATTCATTTTTATTTCTGAGTTCCACTTTAATCTGGTAGTATCTAAATTTGCATAAGTGGCTTCTTGCAGATTGGCAATTACAAAAGACGTAAGCAATTGTTCCACTATCATCTTTTAATGTCAGGGTGAGGTAGCTCTGGCCTTCCTCATATACTCAAGAACCCCAGTGCCTAGATACAGTGGGGTCTTGACTTAAGAACGGCTTGAGTTAAGAACATTTTGACTTAAGAACCACTCTCATAGGAAAATATTGACTTGACTTAAGTACTTAGATTTGAGTTAAGAACTGAAAAAAACCACGTGGGAGGCAGGGAAAGTGCAAAATTTGAACTTTCAGTTAACTGTTGGCCAGTGAAAATGGTGCCTGTCTGCTTCCTCACTCCTCCCAGCGTTTCGAGAGTGGATTGGGAGTCTTCCGACTGCCTGGTACTGCCTGGACTGTATTTTCCCTGCCTTCCCTGAACCTTTCTTGACCTAAGAAAAAAAAGAAACAAAATATCCTCCTCTAGTGGTCGAAGGCGGAATAGCAGCTTCCCATTAGTTTCTATGGACAGAAAAGAGCAGATACGGATCAAATGGTTCTCAATGCATTCCTATGGGAAATGCAGATCTGACTTGAGAACTTTTTGACTTGAGAACCGCCTTCCAATACGGATTAAGTTCTCAAGTCAAGACCCCACTGTACTTAAATAGCTTAATGTCAAGGGCTTTTCCCTTATAATGTTTGTTTCCTTTGTAACATAATCTTTTGTAATCCATAACAGAAAAATTATATATTTATATATTTTACTCTGAATATATTTTAATGTTTGCATGTAAAGGCCTACAAAAATTTCCTTAATGGCACTGGAGTCTAAAGTCTCAGATGTTACAGTATAAATGGAACAATGCCATATGTTTTGTGTGAAAAACCGGGAAGAATTATAACTTAAAACTACTTTTAAATGGTTTGCAATATGTTTTAAACCTCACAGTTACAGAAAATATTCCTTAGAGGAGCAAGCAGAGTGCACGTTTTAAGGTGCCAGAATGAGACCTGGATGTCAAAGTTCCAATCCTGGCTGAGCCATAAACTCAATGTGCAAACTTGACATGTCACTATCTCTCAGGCTGACCTACCTAACAGGATTGTAGTGTGGGCAAAAAGGAGGGTGGAATCATGTATGCCACTTTGAACTTGTTGGAAGAAATGTGGGAGGCAAGTGTAATAAATAAACAATATACAATGACAGAAAAAAATATTGTGAACTAGATTTATTCCAGTTGATATATGGAATAGCTCCTATCATCTCCAGGCAATACAGGCTATAGTGAGGGCTGGCAGGAATTAAAGTTTAGCAACATCTAGGACAGGGGTCTCAAACATGCGGCCCCCCAGATGATAGTTTGTGGCCCCCGCCTTTCCTGCCCCACCAAAGCGCCCACACATCCTCTGCTGTCAAGAGTAAAAAAAAGCCTTGCCTCGCTCTCTAGCTCTCTCCCAAGACAGCACCTCTTGCACCCTCCATCCAGAACTGCAGCCTGCCAGCCAGCCCACCTGTCTGTCGGCTAAGGAAACTCCTGGGCGGCTTCCTTGGGCTCTTGCTCCTCTTGGCAGAAAATCTGATGTGGCCCAGCCTCACCCAGACTCTGTCTCTAGCGGCCCCCAGGTAAATTGAGTTTAAAACCCCTGATCTAGGAGGTCATGTGTTCTTCATCCCTGAAGTAAATGTCATTATAAGACTGTATCTGCAAAAAACTGGGCATATATTGATAGTTTTCCCATCCTCACCACTGTGTGCAACTCCTGGGATCCCTGGATGATGATGCGGGAAAGTGGCCAGTCTTGATGAAGAATCCTGGGGAGATGTAGCACTAAACAAAGGCTTTTCAGGTTTCTTCATTGTAGGAGAAGACATATCTGCAAGGGCAATAGAACATAACAGATACATTAGTTCAGAGAATTGTCTATTGCTGTTTAAGTGTTATACACTGCAAGAGAAAAACCCATTGAAATGCATAGCGAAAGTACGCCCTGGTTCTTTGACATCTACTAAATGAAATCCTAAGATGCAACCTCCTATGATAGTTCTTGTGGAGAGAGGTTCTCCATGTAAAAACTGCATGTATCACAAAAAAACCCCATCATCCTTAAGTTAAGGAGTTTTTTACATGAGGATACTTAAAAAAACATTCCATCACATGAAAACCAAAATATTACACTGTCAATATGAGGCCTTTCATATTCTCATGAATATATGATTCAGTCTTTTAAAAACTCCTATATCCATAAGTTTGTTTTTTGATCCCACTATTTAGCAAGGTCTATATTTAGGAGTAAGGAAAGACACCCGCATTTTCACAATAACAACACTATTTACTTCATTCCCTCAATTCTAGTGACACTCTGAAACCTTGTAGAGTATCTGCGTGCTGTATCTTAAAGTATAAGATTGTTTAAAACATTGATAGGGTAAGCATTCTTGTTTTACATCTTAATAATAAACTAATGTATATGCCTTCATATAAACCGCATTTACGTAAGTTAAAAATTGAAAGAAAGAGGAGAGGCAGAAAAGATTATGACAGAACAGACTGAGGGTTAGGGACGCACAGGATGGTGACAAAGGATAGTGGAGCCGAAAGCTTGCCAGTAGGACTGAAGCAAGCTCACAGCATTAGAGCACAGAAGACTCAACCAATGAACATTAAAAGCACCTTAGGGTCCTGGCAAACTTAGCACTGTATGATTCAAAGAAAGCTGTACACTCCCACCAATCCTAAACTTTAGTTAATCCAAAACTTTAATATTCTCAAAAATCTGGAGGGGGCCAGGCTGGTGGCAATTGGATTATATCAATTTATATTTCAAATAATTCTCCTTTCATTGCTGAAGCCCATTTTGTGGGAAGTGTGTGTGTGTGTGTGTGTGTGTGTGTGTGTGTGTGCGTGCGTGTGTGTGTGTGTGTGTCTGTGTGTGTCTGTGTGTGTCTGTGTGTGTGTTTTTGGGGTGATGGCAAGGGAGAGGACCAATGAGATGGCAGGCTTCATTTGTCCACTTGCAGAAGTACAATTTTCTATTCAATCCTGACTAGTGAACTAAGCTAAAAGTAATTACTGTAATACTAAAGTTCCTACATTTTCTAAACATATTGGAAGCCTCCAAGCATGCTCAGGGTCCTCCACAGCTGTTCAGAAGCTCTGAACAGGGATTCTGCCAGAGCAACTCTCCTTACAAACTATGAGATTTGGAGGGGCAGGGAGACTGACAGAAGAAGACTGGTAACTCCAGAGGACTGGTGGAGTGTGAGCCAAGACTCAGGGCCATTCTGAGCAGCATCAGAGTACTTTGGATATGCCTCTGAGGAAACTTGAAAAGTTGACACAAATTGTGATTTACAAAAAGCGTCCTGTCTATCCATTGTTGGAGAGTCCAACCCTAATACTGTACAAATCACACATTAGCTTGTGTTGCATGCTGTAAAATTACCGAGTTTGAAGATAATAGAACATATCACTTCAACTGTATCCTCAACCTTGAATTACATTGGGAGTACTGGATTAAATCACTCTTTCTCAGACTAATCGACCTCTTAGAGGTTTTGTGAGGATAACAGGATTGCATCACCACACAATATAGCATCTTTAAATGGTAGATAGTGCTAAAGTAAACCACAGGTAGGGTCAGACAAAAATATGATAAAATAAAATCTGTGTATTACTATAAATGCCTGTAATAAGCTAAACTTGCTTCCACATCACTTTCAATGGGTACCAATGCCCTTTTCCTATGAAAATGTTTGATTTTGTTAGGCCACAACACCCTCTTCATTATTTTACAGAAGCCATTATTTAAAAGCCATTTGGTAAAACTGAACTAACATCTGCTTACATTTTTGTGACTCATGAGTTACTTATTATTCATATTTTTAGAACATTTATATTCCATCCTATATGTTACAATCTCAGGGTGGAGTATAGCAAGAAAACAATAAAAAAACAATTCAACATTTTAAAACATTACAAATATTAAAAATTATATATGTTCATTAAAACCAGTAACAATAAGGAAGCCTCCAGAACCTACTACCTCAATCCCTAAAGACTTTAGTGAACAATCATATTTTAACTAGGTACTGAAATGAGTCTAGTGTCAGCTGCAGTTGAACTTCTAAGGGGAGAGTGTTCCATAACAGGAGTGCTATAGCTCAGAAGTCCTTCCATGTGTCCACATAGTAGATTGTTCTCCATGTTGGGACATGGAGGAGCCTCCTCAGAAGATCCTAGTGATTGAGCAGGATATATAGGGAGAGGCATTCTCTCAGGTATCCAGGCCCCAAGCTGTTCAGGGCTTTATAGGTTAACATATGAAGCCAGAGCAAAAATATATTGGTAGTGAGTGCAATTCTTTCAGAACCAATGTCACATGGGCTTTGAAAGCTGTTCCTAGTAGCAATCTCGCTGTACCATATTACACTTGCTGCAATATGAAGAGCAGCCATACATACATAATGTGCATTACAATAGTCTATCTGGGATGATACCACTGCAAGAAATACTATAGCTTAGCTATGTTGTCCTTTTCTACGAAGGATCACAACTCATGGGTCAATTAACTGAGCCATTTGTGATAAAGATGGCTCAAGCAGGCTACAAACCTGTTCCTTCAGACAGAGTGCAACCCCATTATGTACTTAATTCCTAGATGTGGGATCCGCCAGAATATCTTTTTTTATTTGCCCTCATCCAGCTAATTACAGCCTACAAACAGCAATTTAGCACATGCACAGCCTCAGCTGACTCAGTTGGCAAGGAGAAATAAAGTTGGGTGTCATCAGCATACTGACGGCACCAAATCCCAAAACTCTGAATGATCTTTCCTAGTGATTCAATAACAGAATGGAGTGCAGAATGGATCCCAGTGGCACCCCACAGCTTAACTGCCACAATGCTGAACAGGAATCCCCCAGTAACATACTCTGCAGGTAGGAGCAGAACCACTGCAACACAGTGTCTCCTACAGTATTCCCATTCTGTGAAGCCAGTCCAAGAGGACACCATGATCAATGGTATCAAAGTTGCCAAGAGATTCAGGAGGATCAGCAGAATTCTACTCCTCTGTCTTTACTCCAGAGTACGTCATTAGTCAGGGTGACAAAAGTTGTCTCAGTGACTTCAGGCCTGAAACCAACCTGTGGAGTCAAGTTCCAATGGATATAAACAAGTCTGAGTTATGCATCTTCAGTTCTTGGAAAAATATTCCAGTAATATTGTCTGGGGAAAAGGCAGAAGTGCTAGGAGTTGTAGTCAGTTAGTAGTCTTCAGAAAGACACTTCTTTATATCTAATCCAAGATCCAATAATGTCCATTCAAGTGCTTCTGAAAAACTTACAAGCGGGGGGAGGGGGGAGCAACAACCCAAATGAGAAAAAACACAAACGAGGCACTTTTTTTGGTTTTGGAATCTTTCATGGCTTTCCAATAGAGAGCATCTGAAATATGAATGATTCGATATTCTGAAAAAGCCCTGGATAGTGGTTTTCCACTAGATGACCAGTATATATGTGCAATTAATTAATTAATTAAACAATCTATCATATTTCATTCAAATTTCAATTGTATTACCTTCATTTTGACCCTTGCATACAAATTTACTTACTGATTTTCCAGCAAATAGTGTTGTGAGTTTCGACTATCTGCTGCCAATTAAGAAAATCTTGGAAGGGGGAAGTGAGATGTTTGAATCATTTAAAGATCCTTGAAAACATGAATGGCTGGCTTTCACTGCTAAATAACTTTGTTGCTGCAGAAATAACTAATCTGAAATGCATTTTAGACTGGATTTATTCCTTGTTGGCCCGCTATTGCTGCTGTTCCTCCACTGTGGATTATTATTATTATTCATATTGTCATCTTGCTGTGGTGTTCCTTTTTTTCCACTTTTGGATTACTTTCTGGATTCCTTCTGGATCCCCTGCTTTTTTGTTTTTTAATGGGGGGGAATTCCCCCACTTCCTTTAATTATTTTATTTTATTTTATTAGATTTCTACCCCATCCATCTAGACCAAAGGTCTACTCTGGGTGGCATTGCAAATTTAAAAACATTTAGACCAATAAACATATACATAAATCCAAGATGTCAAAAAAAGAATTTAAACTTTTAAAAAAATTTTGCTTCAAGACTGATCGCCCCCCCAACGTGGTGGATTGCCTTCACTGTTGAGCTGAAGCTTTCAAAGTAGTAGGGAGGAATGAATCCTCCCGATGATGATTTGTCTTTCTCAGGCACCCTTGTGCTGCCTGCTTTTGGAGCAGATGATTTTTCTGTTGCCTTGATCCTCTTTTGAGCATTCTGTAGATTTTAACCTGGTCCAGAGCCAGAAGTTCAAATAGGGAAAACAAAATTAATCTTTAAAGGGCAAGCACTTTCGGGTTTACCAAAAGAAGAGTGACATCTAAAAGAACTGAAAATAAATGTACACCCTCCGCAAAGACGCCCAAATGAATGCAATCCAAAAACTTTCCCCTGTACATCTCTAGCAATTTGAACCAAAGATGTTACAAAGGAAGGAGCACAGCAACTCTGTCTGTTAGAGGCATCGTCCATAAATAAGAACTCTGTTTTGCAGTCTCTGATTAACACCATGTATTATTTAACCATCACATGATATGCATAATATAATTGCAATGAAGACAGAATATACACAAAATGATATTCCTACTAAAAAGTTAAGTAAGAAGTACACAACTCAGATTAATGGTTAGGAGTTGGGCATCTTATGTAACACAAAATTCAACTAAAGAACTCTGGGTAAGACTGAAAAACTTTTGCTGCTACTGTTACCATGTTTCCCCGAAAATAAGACAGGGTCTTACATTAATTTTTGCTCCAAAAATGCATTAGCGCTTATTTTCAGGGG